ATTTCTTGTTGCTACAGTGTTGAAAATAACTTTTAATTGAGAATCTGTGTTATTTTTGGCCTCCTTGTACCCTAGTTCTGTGATAGAGCACTGTCTGTAATAAATAAATTAAGCATTCCAAGATGCTTCTCTTCCTGCTCAAAGCACCTACCTTTCAATGAATTTCAGTATCTGCAGAGTTCAGGAAATGATTATGTCTGCAGGAATAGCTCTAGAAATAGATGCAATGTTATCAAAGAATCACAGGATGGTTGAGGCTGCAAGGGACCTCTGGAGGGCATTTGGTCCAACTCTCCCTACTCAAGCAGGGCCCCCTGGAGATGGTTGCCCAGGACCACATCCAGACAGCTTTTGAGTATCTCCAAGGAGGGAAACTCCCATCTTCTTTGGGTAACCTGTGCCAGTGCTCAGTCACCCTCACGCTGGAAAAAGGGTATCCTGATGTTCAGACAGAGCTTCCTGAGTTTCATTGTATGCCCTTGCCTGCTCTCCTGTCACCAGTCACCACTGGAAACAGGCTGTCCCTCTCCTCTTTGTGTAGTACACCCTTTATACACATTGATGAAATTTCCCTGAGTCTCCTCTTTTCCAGGCAGAACAGTCCCAGCTTGATGAGCCTTTCCTCAAATGTGAGGTGCTCCAGACCCTTCATCATATTTGTGGCCCTTCACTGAGCTCTTTCCAGAATGCCCAGAGTGTTAGCAGGTGTGGCCTCACTAGTGCTGAGTAACACTCGCTGTTCTAGCAACACTTTTAATGCAGGCCGGGTTACTGCTGGCTGCCTTTGACTCCAACTTTTCTTTAGCATTTCCTTCAGTTAGGCAGATGTTAGCAGGTAGAATGTGCTGTTCAGAAGGTGTTTGAATGGGAGGAGTCTGAGCTAAATGTTTTTGTTGCCAACTCTGAAAAGATCCCATAGCTCCTTTTCTGCCCTTGTTCTAGACGGTGTACTTGTCCAGGGTTCCAAAGCAGGAAAGGTCCTGAGGTGCTGTGCTGTTGATAGAGCAGTGCCTGGTGTGTATAGCATAGAGGAGATATGCACTTAAAAGCCTCTCTGGTATGTGCTGCTTATAAAGTTTATTGGATCCTGTAGTTGAGTATGTAAAATCCTTCAGCAGTTCAGTCAGGTTATCCTATATGTAATTTTTCTGCTTTTCTGCTGAATGTTGCACTGAGAAATTACTTGAAAAGTTTATAGGTTTGAACCACTCAAAACTTACTTACATTATAGTCTCGTGTATTTAATCTTACAGGCTCACGAGCGACTGGAAGATTCTAAACTTGAGGCTGTCAGTGACAACAACCTGGAGCTGGTGAATGAAATCCTTGAAGACATCAGTCCCTTAGTAAATAAGGATGAAAATGTTGCAGAATTGGTTGGAATACTCAAGGAGCCTCATTTTCAGGTGCCACCTTTTTACTGTATGTTACCAACTTACTGTATCAGTGTCTACGTACAAATTTAGGAATGACAATGAAACAAAACTTGAACTATAACAAAATGTAATGGATTGTAATGTAGAGGATTTTACTCCAAATAAAAGGTAAATCAGAAGTCATGTTAAAAATAAGCATGATTTTATTCTTTGATATAATTTCAAAACCACCTTTACTCACTGTATTAAATTCTACTGAAGTTTCTTTTATAAAGCTTGGACAAGCTTTTACTTCCTGTATGACTGGAGTTTCTATAAAAATTCCCTGAAGGCTTGCTTCATCCATAACATTTTCAGGTGATCTCAGTTCCTGATCATGAACATTGCATTTCACTTCAGCTGTTTGCACTCATACTTGTGTGTAAATGTATGGTTTGCAGAGTGAATGAACGTGATTCTTCTGTGAGCTGATCTGCACTGCTGCTGAAGCTGAGATTCTGCAGCCCTCTCACTGTTGCTCTGCTTAAGTGAAGTGTTGACATGTGCTTGTCAAAAGCAGATGTTTTTCCATTTTGCTGTTTCTATGACTAGCTTCTGTACTGAGCCTCAAAGATCAAGGTTTGAAAATCCTTTGAAGATTCTAGCCTTTCTAGGTAGGGCTCAGTGGACTTTGCTACTTCAGTGGACTGCTACTAAGCTAAAGGTATTCTGTAGAAGAACGTAAACAACTTTTTGCCATAGTATAAGTGGGTTTCTTTTGGCAGACAGCTATGAAGTCATAGGCATTTTTGGGATAGATTAGTTTAAACATACTTTCCCCCCAGGCTTTTCATTACATGTTTTACAAACATAGCAGTGAAATATATTACCGTTTAACATGGATAAACACTGAAAATGCTTTTGGTTGTATTGTGTCCTATTGGGAAAGGAATCGCTTCAAGAACTCAGCTTTTGGGGCAGTAGCTTTTCTGAGTACTGGCAATTCCTCTGCCTCTCCTGTGTTGGCCTCCCTTGTGCTCTTACTTGTCCAGACAGGCATCATAGCAGAGTGATGAAAAGCTATGATTGGAGACTTACTGGTGCATAAACCTGCAAATCAGTCTTTGGTCACATAGAAAATAATTGGTACTTGAAGAGGACTGGATGAGTTTGGAGGAATTGATAGTTAAAATGCACAAGGACTAGAACTGGGGGCCAGCTGTGCACTGACAGACCTGACAATGATCCATTGTGTTAGACAGAGAAAATAAAGCTGAAAGTCAAAGAGGATGATGAATCAAAAGATGAAAAGGGCATAACAATAGAAGTGCTGCACTTTGAAAGGCTCAGTAGCAGTGATCTCTGGAGAGAGATGGCAAAGGCCAGAGACAAGCTTGGGAAAAGGATCTTTGGGGTGGAAACTGGAGATGGCCTGTAGGAGACAGATCAAATAAGAGTTTTTGGGTGACTAAGAATCAAATAAGAATTACTGGGTGAATAGCCAACACTAAGGCAAACCCAGCATTTATTCCTGTTCTGTGGTCAGATCTACAGAGGCAGAATGTGATCTTAGTGTCAGATACTTCATTAGTTCAGGCTTGAGCAGCTTAAACATGTAGTGTGAAAGTTCCAAAATTGCTGGTGAACTGGAGTGTCAGTATTTATGCTCTTTCTTGTACCTTTTCTGTTGCTTGATATATAAGGAGCCATGAAACTGCATATATGCTATCTTAACTTTACAGTTTTGTTCAGTTTTAGTGCTTCCTAATTGTATGTTAAAGGTCAATTTAGCAATCATCTCTTCTGTTTTCCTTCCCTGTCTCTGCAGTAGGTGTCTAGTGAAGGCTGTAAGGCTAGAACAAGCCAACAATGATACCTTCCAAAATGTGTTGTGAAGATTTAGTGATTTGTTGCTAAGACTTCTGAGTGAGTAGTGTCATCCACCTGTGGTTCTCTTCCATGAGCTTATTCAGTTGTTTTTTTTTCAACCCATATGAAAATCTGTCATTCACAGCATCCCCCATCAGAGTGGAGACTGTGCTCTTTTGGTTTTGAGACTGTCTCCTGTCAATTTCACTTAATATTCCCATCCTCTTGTGTAGGAAGAAAGTGAACAGTTTTTCTTAATCAGCTTTTCCATGTTACTTTTGGTTTGAGAGACCTCATTGTGTCCCTCTGTGTCAAATAAATAAAACGAAGGGAAGCAAAGCTGTATGCAGCATGGATTTCTAAAGTAGTGTCATAATTTACATTGCATTTCCTACTCATGGCCTAAAAGTTCCTAGTACTTGGTTTGCCTGTTTAACAGCTGATGAATAGAACAGAAAAGTTCAGTTAGAAGGGACCTACAGTGATCATCCACTCCAGCTGCCTTACCAATTCAGAACTGGCTGAAAATTAAAGGCTGTTATTAAGGGTGTTGTCCAAATGCTTGTTAAACACTGACAGACATGGGGCATCAGCCACCTCTTTAGGAAGGAGCCTGTTCCAGTGTTTGACCACCCTGTCAGTAAGGAAGAGATATCTCTAGGCTCAGGGAGAGTAAAGGTGGATTGCTTGTTAGGCTCAGTTTGGTTTTGTATTGTTTACATCTTTGAGATACCATTTCTGAGTCTTTCAGTTAATACATAAAGCTAGGATTGTGTTTTCCCTTGTAGTCTATGTTGAGTTTAAGTTGCCTTGTTCTCAGTCTGTTGCTCATGAGGTGCCTCTGCAGGTTACAGGCAGTTGTTTCAGTCCTTGAGCAGTGCATCAGCATCAGCAAACTGTCATTTCATTTCTCATCCCCATTTCCTAGGCCATTTATCTGACATGTCAGTATATTGGCAGGTGTAGAACTGAGCCCAGATGCCTGTGGAAATCACCTGATGACATGAATTCTGAAAACTAAAAATTCCATATTCCTGGCACCAATTTTTCTGTCTTTAACCAATATTTTCTTCCATTTGAAAGCCTTACTGTCTTTCCTGTTATAGTTTTGTTTTTCTGAAAGAATTCTGCCAAAGGGCTATGGAAGTTGTTCTACATTAACAACTCTAACTGCCTTGTTGCCATGCTTGTTGGGGACTCTTCCAAGGAATCTGACTAGATTTGAGAAGCATAACTTCCTTTATTAAGCATGTTGATGCTTTCCCATGATCCATTTTGTCCAGTCATTCTGGGTTTTATGGAGACTTCTGATTTGTTTAGTATCAGCGTCACACTTAGTTTTGCAGTTTGTTGACTCTTCCTTGGAACATAGTTTAAATATTCATATCATGGTTATTGCTTACATGCTGCTTCTTTCCCTATAGTGTTGGGTGAGTCATGGGCATGTAAAAAAAATGCAGTGCAACTTTGTTTGCTGCAAAATCTGGATTGTACAAAAAGGACAAAAAAGCGTGAAAGGAAGAGAAAATAGGTGGTTTAGATAGTTAAATGCTGCCCTGGAGAACTGGCCTATTCATCACTCTGTCAGAATTGGAATTCATTAAAAAAAAAGTCTGAAGAAGTTTTAATTTTTATTTTTAAAATTTATTTTCTGTGTGCCTGTCGTGAGGCATTCAGTCTCATTTGCAGAAACAATGAGCAGTTTTGGCTGCTGTGTATGGGCAAAAGCACCTAGCTACTTACTTCTTCAAAGTATATCTGCTGTGATTCATTTCTGAAGCCGAAAATTAGGGAGAATTTTCAGCCCTTAATTTTGTACTTCCATTACCCACGTGCAAGCAACAAAATCAGCTGAGGTCAAAGTACTATTTTTATTGAACTGATATCATAGTTAAGACCATTCTAGAAGTACTTCTAGGACAAATTGCAGACCAAAATGTAGGTATAGTATCTTTTTTTAAGGCTTGGGAAAGCTGTGTGTCTCCTGCAAAAAGGAAACAGAAAATTACTTAAATACTCAATAAATAAGTGCTATCATTTCTGCCTCATTTGGTGCAAGTAGGCATATTCCAAATTCTGTAAGAATGGAAAGAGGAAAAATACAATGTCAATTGCATTTATAGAAAAAGTCTTTTACATCCTTTCTCCAGTTCAGTAAAAGTGCTAACAACCCAACCTGACTCTTTAAAAGTGCCATGGACAGTACTGTGTAATTGGTTAGAGACTGTATTTTACAAATGAATGGTTCCACTTCATCACAGCCTCACCTTACAGTTGTAACCTGCCTTGGCATACAAGTATAAAATGTGGATATACAGGGCATCAGTGCAGTAGATTGTTTGGATGTATCATTTAGTGCTAGAAATACCAAATTACAGGACTTCATTTTTCTACACATTTTTGTAGAAGAGCATTTGGGAAGGATTGACTCTGGAGTACAGGTGCATGCCTGGCTGTATTATTATTCCCTTTCTTTTCTCATCTTGTTTCCTTGTTTTTTCATCCCTTCCTCTCTTTACCTTTTTTAGTTTTAACTGAACTTTTCAGAGGTCAAAGTGTGAAAGTTCTAATGAGTTTCACAGTATTGATGGCTGGCCAGTAGGTCAGTATGTGTTGGAGAGCCAGCTGGCACATGCTGCACATGAAAAAGGCTGTAGCAAATCTTACCAGACAGTAGCTGGAGAGCAGAAGACAGGAGTGGTAAGAGAGGTTGCCTTGAGGAAAGAAACAGCATTTAAAAATTTTCACACTGTTGGAGTGGTTAAACATGCAGAAGAATCACTTCTTCTCTTGGAAGAGCTTGTTCTGTTACTTTCACCCTTCAAGAATTAGCTAAACCATTCATCCTAAATAGATTCTGCTGGCAATAAAATACTTAATCTGAAAAGCAGCCAGTTTGATCATACCTTTTAAATGTTTCATTTAGAATAAGTGACCTTAAATTGTATCCTAGACAGATACTAATATATAGGGTTATTTTCCCTACATATTCTTGTGTTCTTACCATCTCTTCTGATTTTTCTAAGGTCATGATTCCCTCACTTTTCCAGGACAGCCTTTAAAATGTGTTCTTTTCACATGAACATTAGGAGTCTCTAGTCTATTTATTAAGTTCTAATATTTAAACAGGGTTATCAAGGAAGACTAGCACACATTTAGTGCATGAAAGAGGAAAGGAAATATTTTAGATACTTCAGGGCCTAAAATGTTAGGAAAGGAGGCCTGAATTCAAGACTATAGTGTCATTCTACTCTTGTGTATTCCCTCCCACCACAGCCCCCAGTTTGTAATTTACCTGTTCTTTTGGATCAGAATTGGAGAAATGGTCATTCTGTTATTTAGGGCAGTGCTTCATAACATGTTTTGATTGTGTTGAGTATTTTTGAAATTAAAAACAGATGTTGAGTTTGAACTTGGCTTCAGTACTGCAGAGAGCCTTGCATGTTTAATGGTTCTCTGTTTACTGAATTTTCAGTTACGTATTAAAATACTTTTACCTGTCAAATATATGCAGCCACAGTAAACTACTGTAAAGAGATCAATATCTTCTAAGTTTATGGATTGTTTTTTGACAGTGTCTTGCATAAAGAGACCATGCTGTCTGTCACAGGACTGTGTATCCACAGGACTGTGTATCACTTCTTGTGATTTGTAGCAGTTCTCCTAAGTGCCTTTTTCTGACAATATTGACATCTATCCAATCTTGGATAATCAGCTGATTTGTTTACAGGCGGAAATTTTGTATGGAGGAAACTTTGAACTGTTTTATGGTTGTTGATCAGTCCCTGTTGTTTTGCAGACTTTGGCAGTGGTTTTTTACGTGTTCCAGCACCAGTATGGAAAGTTCAGATTTCTGTAGAGCTCTGGAGTTGCAGGAGCACAGGATATCACTTTTTTGGGTATCACAAGAAAGAAACAAGAGAAGTTAATGTAACTGTATTCCTCAGTTCTCTCAGCCATGTTCCTGAAATAAGAAAGTAACTTAGGACATAAGATGTTGGCAAGTAGTCGGGCAGTGGTACAGACACAGGGACCTGTTGCCAGGTGCCTGTACTTAAGTGTTCTTCAGGACTGTAGGTCATGACCTGGCTGCCTGGAAACAAGCTCACAAAACTGGTACAGATTGTTGAGTTTCAGAACTGAGAGTTGGGTATGGGACAGTAATAAGTTAACTGTGCCTTCAGGAAACCAATGAACTACTTTTTTAAAGAAAACACTTTAGAGCTGAGGGCAGTCCCTGATAGTCCTTCTGTGACTCAGGCATTGTGTAAAAGGAAAAAGGAAAAAGATCCTTTGGCTGAGAGATGGTTAAGTAGCAGTTGTATGAATTCATGCTTATCCATAAAACTGAGAGGTTAAAAAGGATCAGAATGTGCAATGGGATCAGATTTAAGAACTGAATGACACAGACTGTTATCTTAGTAGGCTTTTTGGATCAGATTATAATCTATAAATTGCATTACCATTAAAGGGCAGAGACCTGTCCAGGCAGGTGTGCAAGGCTTTATGAGAAGTATAAAAGTGAGTTGTGGTCAGGAACTTCAGGGACAATTTGTTCTAGCATGTGACCAGAAGAAAACTGTAAGTTTCATACCACTGTATCTACCTGGTTTTATGAGTACTAATCTGTAAAAATGTGTTGCTGATGCAAATAGTTTCATTTTGGAAATGCAGAAAGATCCAAAAATATGTTGCTTGCAAACATTGGCAGAGAGATCTGTTCTCCTGGTTTCTGGATTGGATGTATCTTGGATAGTGAAGAATTAGAAATTGCTACCATCTGACAGCTGCTTGATTTAAATAAATGATTGTTTTTCCTATTTAATTTGATTTGGTTTGTGTCCACAGTATCAGAGCAGCCACAATAAGCAGCTGTCTTTACAGTCTTAATGGAAGGGGCAAAATCGGTGAATTAATACTTCCTTCTAACCTCAAGTTGAAATATCAGCAGGTTCATCGTGTAATGGGCAGATTAAAATGACTGTTCAGGTTTGTGACATTTTGAGGGCTTGCATGCTGAGCTTAGCACTAACCTAATGTGGTTGCACAGCCTTTAGCTTAGAGGTGGCTTACAGAAGGGTGGAGCAGACTGCATAGCAAATCATGACTCTTACCTGCTCACCTGCTCTGCTTTCTGGTAGTTTGCTGTCTTCCTCTGGCATGTGCATGTCAGTATCAGTGATAGTCCCATGCTGTCTTTTTTTTTTAGCTACTTCTGTGACACAGTCAGTGACCTGCCTTTAGACCATATCTGACCAGTCACTGTTGGAAACAAAGCTGTGTAGTTGGAGGCCCAGTAGGCATCTCTTCTGCTTGCTGCTGCTCTCTGTGTATCTGTCAGTGTGACTCCCTGTGCTGTAGGATGCTTTACCTTGGACTACTGTGTATGATGGATATTGGGTGTCCCTGTTCCTCTCATAGAATCACAGAATGGTTTGGGTTGGAAGGGACCTTAAAGATTATCTTGTTCCAGATCCCCTACCACGGGCAGGGACACCTTACACTAGAAGGTGACAGAAAGACAGAAAGTCTCAAAGTCTCTCCACTGTCTTAGTGCACAAGTTTGATCTTGGTTTACCTGTATGTATTGTCTTATACATTTTTCTTTATCCTAAGATATGTTTTATGAAAAAATCATGCCTAAATTACATTGTCTTCCAAACATGATTATATCCATTTGGATCTCCTCCTTCTACCTTGTATTTATGTATATGGACTGGAGAAAACACTGTTAACTCTAAGGTCTGAGCTCCTGTCTTCCAGAAAGTAAACTCTGTAAGCTTGGATTCATTTGTTACTAGAATTCTGTCTTGGCTTTATGCAAGCAGGAAGCACTCATTCTGCAGATAGCTAGAAATCCTTGCATACTTGTCATTATCCAAATTACTGTGGAGGAAAATTTTATTGCATTAAACACAAGTATCTAATGATGAGTTGTCTTCATTTTTTTGCAGTGGGCTGTTCATTTACTGTAACCATTTGCTCAGATACTGTCTCATTAGGTGGAAGACTATTTTAGGTACTCCTTTTTCTGTCTTCTTCCCTTGTAACATCACACATTCCTCCCAGTTTAGTTACATTTCTCCTATATTTCCTTAAGAAGCAGCATTTTTCTGTACAAGATAGGATATTTGCCAAGGCAATAGGCTTATCAGTTCATGTGAGCACTTATTGTGTCCGTTTTTGCTTTATTTCATGTGAAATAATGGTATTAGGACCTGATCCCAAAAGGACAGATTCAGTGGTTATTCAGCACTAAATCCTTTCACAAAAAGTTATTTCATGACTATAAAAAAGATTTTTTTCTGTTCCTTTGCAGTCACTCTTGGAAGCACATGATATTGTGGCTTCAAAATGTTATGATTCCCCTCCTTCTAGCCCAGAAGTCAATAATTCTTCCGTGAACAACCAGGCTGTTCCAGTAGATGCTATTCGTATCCTTGGAATTCACAAAAGAGCAGGAGAGCCACTGGTAAGTAATTGAGGGTGAGTGTGTCTTTAAAGTGCTTTAGTGGAAATGTTTGCTCATACCTGGTGTCTTGCATTATGTTTTAATTATTTTCATTATGTTGTGTAATTTATTGGGTGATGAGCTCAGTATCGAGAGGTTGAAATAAGATACTTTCATGTTCTCCATCCCATCCTCTCCAAGAAGTAATGGGATAGTTATTAGGCAGTCACTGGCCTGAATGACTGCTGGCATAACTGACTAACACAACATCTTGATATAAGATGACAGGATTGCATGCAATCAAGAACAACAGTAATTTTTCAGTCTTATGAAAATCTTGTGTGAAAGCACTTCTGTGTCACCTGATGCTTCCCTGTATCAGGAGCTCTAACACTGTAGTAGCTGTGACTGTTTTCATTGGAGTGAGTGGAATATCCCACAGCTGTGTATTTGTGCTTGAGGTAATGGTGACATGAAACTGAAATTCAAACAGTGGTAAACTGGGTGACCTGTACCTCCTTCAGGGAGTCACGTTCAGAGTGGAGAACAACGATCTGGTGATAGCCCGAATTCTTCATGGAGGAATGATAGATCGGCAAGGTCTTCTGCATGTGGGGGACATTATTAAAGAGGTGAACGGCCATGAGGTTGGAAACAACCCAAAAGAATTGCAAGAACTGCTGAAAAACATCAGTGGAAGTGTCACTTTGAAAATTCTCCCCAGCTACAGAGACACTGTCATTCCTCAACAGGTCAGTAGCACATTTCTGATGATTCTCTGCTTAGTACTTTATTGTGTAAAATTCTCTAATATTCTGGATTAGACATGTTTTGATTATTTTGTGAATATCATGCTAGAAGGAAAAGTAAAATGTATTTTACTATATTTAAACCTATAATAAACCTGTATTTACCTTTAATTACATTTTAGAAATGAGTTTATTCACCTAATATGCGTGCTTAGAAAACTTGAATTAGTGTCTAAAATTGTTAGGCATTTGTATGCTACATATAAAGCACGTTTCTTTGACCTTAAGTGATCTCTGATGACCTGACCACAATCACACTTCATGCAGTAAAGTGTGTGTGTGTTTATAACGTGGTTAGTGTCAAAATAATCAGTTTAACGGGATGCAGATATGTATTTAATTCAACGGACAAGCTTTAACTCTCTTGACTTCAGTGGGAACTTGGGTGGTGGCTGTTCCTTATCCTTTTGTTGCTGTAGGCTGTCAGTTTCTCCATGGCAGAAGTGACTTCCTGAGCTGAATCAGTCCTTTGAAACAGCCTATAGGATGCTTCTTCAAGTAGTGGGTCTTAATGCCTGTGACTTCCACTGAGTAGAGGCTGAGGGAATGTGCTCTATTGAGGCAGGTGCAGGGCTTCCTTTGCTCCCCAGCCTGGTACAAAGAGAGTCAAAGATGTTTTCAGTTCAGTCATGCAACCTACTGTTTCTTCCCCTGCATCAAATTTGAGTCTTAAGCAGCTGAATGTCCTGTTATTTTTGCCATGAACTCAGTGTTTTAAAAGTAATCCTTAAGATTCTACCAGCCTTAAATACAGTGCTCACATTCCAAAAATTTGTATTTTTAAGTAATTGAAAGTCAAAATTCTAACTGAGTTATATATGCTGAAATGCAAAAATGACCATTTTGTAATACCATCCCCAAATGGAACAGATTTTTTAATTTTTATCATGAAGCTACTTCAGCCAAGGTTTGCACCATTGATTATTCCATCCCAGTTAGTGAATAACTTTTTCCCCCTAGATTGTATTTTACATGCCAAATGCAGTTTGGATCATGTCAAGGTTTTTATGCTGTAGGTAAAGACATTACTTCAGTTTGACAGATAGATTAGTCAGAATGTATTTTATAATGCTTAAGCTTTGTTACTTTTACACATTTCAGGTTTTTGTCAAGTGTCATTTTGATTATAATCCATATAATGACAACCTCATCCCATGCAAAGAAGCAGGTTTGAAATTTTCTAAAGGAGAAATTCTTCAGATTGTAAACCGGGAAGATCCGAATTGGTGGCAGGTTGGTAAAAAGATTAAAATAAGTAAAATAAAAAACTGAAAAGCATCAGTAGGTGCCTTACTAATAAACTCTTTAAATTATGATCTACTTCCTTTTAACAGTAGATACATGAAAAAAAAAATTACGCTGCAATCCAATTTCAAGCTAATACAAAGATATGAAGTTGAAATACTAAAGGAAAAGTAATGTTTTAAATTGTATATGTAACACTCATTTTACTGTTAGTTGTGTTTATTTGTCTTTGTTTTTGTGTTATAAGCCTGGACATTCCCACAAATAAATTTAAGGTGGACAATTTTTAGAAAAAAAGTCTTAGTTTGACTATAATTATGGTAAACCTTCCCTGACAGCAGCTGTGGAAGACGTGGACCCCTTCCTGAGTGCTAGATATACAGAGAGAGAAATTAATCTTGTGGATTTGAAGGGAGTGAGAATAGCTGTCTGGAGAGGCTGTATGTTTTATTTCTACAGTGGTCAATGTCTGTGAGCTGTGTATCATGCATGCTCATAGTCACAGTGTTTGGCACTGTTTCAAATATTAACAATTCAGCCTGCTTTAAGGTGGTATTCTATTACAGTAGAAATGTAATCCAATGCTTATGCTATGTTTATTTTTTACAAGACACTATGCACAGAATTAAACATTATCAGTGCCTCTGAAAATGGGATAAGTGAACTTTTAAGACCATTTTGTGAACTTTTAAGACCCTTTTCTCAACCGAGATCCTCAAAGCTGGCAAAGAGTATAGCATTATTAACTTCCCTTTCGACCCCCACATTGCTCACCCTTTGCAAGGTAACAAGCAGAAGAGAGCCAGACTACCTGAGAACAAGATATATGACTTCTTTAAAAGCAACAGAAATATTCCAATATACCTAAGTAGCTGCTGAATTTTGTTGCTTCTCAGTGACAGTGATAAAAGAAAGGAAGACAATAAAAAGTGTGAGGAAAGGCTGAGAATTTATTGCTGCCAACTTAATTAGTTTCAGAAGTAGACTCTCCAAAACTCTGGAGGAATTTGATGTTTAGCTCATGCTGACTTCTGTATTGCCTTTCAATCTCTCCAGTTGTAACTTGTGGGAGTCCAGGAGAAATAAATCTTCAACACTCAATCTGGCAAAATTGAAATGTGTTAAATCAGTATAGTGTATTGCTATGCAGATCATGTCCCAGGAAAAAGAAGTTTAGTTTTTCCTCATGCTTTCTAGAAATGCTATACTGTTAATGAAACTTCATACTGTAAAAAATCAGTTAGTCATAGATAAAAGCATAAAGTTGAAAAGCAAACATCTCCTGTTAGCAAAAGAAGGATTTATTGCAAGCAAAAGATTTATGGAGAATTAAACACTTCATAACTGTGTTTGTGTGTGTTAAGCTTGCTGAGAATTGAGCTTGCCATGAAATTATTTTATAGAGAATTTTAGCCAATTCATTACTAGGAATGCTCAAGTTACTAAGATTTTAAATATGTAGTTGCTTAGTGCAAAATGCTTGAAGGCATGATTAGGGAAGTGTTACTGGCATTCACTGGGAAATGACAGGTAATAAACTGCACTGAAGCCTGTTTGGAGCAGCTCAAGAATATAAAATAAGTATACTGTATACTAGCAAATCTTGACTTTTGTCACCTGAGACTTCAGTGTCTGGAGCCAGAGAATTCCACTTGGGAATTTTATGCCAAAGTTTTATGTCTGGAGGAGCGTACTAACGTAATGAGAACCAGTAATGGAACTTGCATCTATTTTACTTAAGTTTTCTGAATTTTAATACTCAATATCAAGACACTATTCCTGTAAAAGAGAATTTTAATATTTACATCTGACTCTGAATTTTTAAGTCTCAGTAGTAAATTTATCAACACTCACCACTGATAAACTGGCAGCGAGGAAGTCAGTCAACACCATCTTGATGAGAAAAATGCTTCTTGCAAGTTAGATATAATTATTTGTTTGGGTTTTTTTTCCCTCCCAGGCTAGTCATGTCAAAGAAGGAGGAAGTGCAGGTCTAATTCCTAGCCAGTTCCTGGAAGAGAAGAGGAAGGCTTTTGTTAGGAGGGACTGGGACAACTCAGGTGAGACTTAGTAAATTTCAGGAGTAGATTTTGTTCTGATTCCTTTTGCTTTTCCTGCCTTCATAAATAATAGAAAAACTGCTATGTGAGATTACACAGATTATTGTGAAATGCTGAATTTCATATTTTGACTTTTGCTGAAGGACAAAGGGTGAAGTCTGTTTAGTGTTCAAAGATACATGAATTTTGCCACCTGGTGATGGAAAGCTGAATGAGGTGGGACAGGCAGTGTGCACTTTTAAAAAATTTTTTCTATGGTATGCACTGAAAGTTAATAAGCTAAACATGAATTTTTCAACTGCTTTCTTTTCTAGGAAAATATTTTTTTCTGTGTTCAGTTCTTCCTGTACCATTTGATGGGTTTGTAAATAGATGTAATTTCTTGCCCTAGGATATATACAATTCTAGAATAGTCCTTATAAATGTATTAATCTAAAATTTCATGTATTCATATAAATAAGTTTTAGAAATAAACAGAAATTGTGAGTTCATCTAGTTTTTTATTTTTAGGGCCTTTCTGTGGAACAATTAGCAGCAAAAAAAAGAAAAAGATGATGTATCTCACTACAAGAAATGCAGGTATCTCTTAATACTACATGAAAGTTAACGTTCTTTAGGTGTCAAAACTTGCAGAGTGTAGTGTATCCAAAGCTAAAGATTTGCAGTAAAATATTTGATTATAAGTTTGATAGATCAGATAGTTTTTATGGTTTAAAAGCAATAGCGATCAGTGCAGACATGGCTGTGC